ACTTGCTTCACATGTAGAAAGCTCCCGGCTTGGTCTCTGGTGTTAGGAAAAAGCTTTCTCTGCCTGAGATTCTAGAGGACAGGATGTCTGACTTGGTTGCTGGGATAAAAGTTGCATGTAAACTCTGCCAAGGAATAGTACACATGAAGCTGCCTTATACTGAATCAGCCCATTGGTCCATCAAAGTCAGTATCATCTACTCAGACTAGCAGCAGCTTTCCAGGGTCTTAGGCAGAGGTCTTTCATATCACCTACTACCTGATCCAAGGAGCTGCGGTGGCTCAAGTGGTTAAGACGCTGAACTGCAGGCTGTGGAAGGTCAGTAGTCCAGCAGTTCGAGACCCGGGTGCCGCATGATGGAGGGAGCTCCCATCTCTAGTTCCAGCTCCTGCCAACCTAGCAGTTTGAAAGCAAGAAATTGCAAGTAGATAAATATGTACCACTTCGGTGGGAAGGTAACAGTGTTCCGTGCGCCTTGGTGTTTAGACATGCTGGCCACATGACCACAGAAACGTCTTCGGACAGTGCCGGCTCTTCGGCTTTGAAACGGAGATGAGCACCGCAACCCTAGAGTCGGACTCGACTGGCTTTCGAGCAAGGGAACCTTTACCTTTACTTACTACCTGATCCTTGAATTGGAGATGCTGGGAATTCAACCTGGGACCTTCTGCATACCAAGCAGATGCTCTACCGCTGAGCCACAGCCACTCCCGACTTAAAATAGTAACACAGGGTGCAGAGACACCAATAGGCAACAGATCTTGGTTCCAGCTCCTCCTAATGATATGTAGCTATTGGGGACTGGAAGGGTTAATATCATAACATTCCTTCCTTAAGCAAGGCTTTGGTAGGAGGGCTCATCACAAGCCCCATTCACATGTTACAGTGAACGCACATACATCCTGCATGTATGTACGTACATCTGTTTGTAAGGAAGAGCCAATGTGTACTCTACAAACCAGGAACCAATACTTGAATAAATGTGTGGTTTCGATCACACATTCTGATGTACACGAGTTGAATGCAATGTGAAAATTACTCAATGCACATATAAAGAAAAATCAAAGGTACACTGTACACAGATTATATGGGTGTTCACTGTAGCTTGTGAATAGGGCTACTGTATGTTGAAGGGGGACACAGAACATAAAATTGATTCTATCTATCATGCTTCTAGAACATCAGATTTCCCTCTCCTCCCCCTCTATTTCATTAGTTTGGCGTTTTTCCAAATCAGGAAATGGCACCGTAAAAAACACACCAAAGGGCTGGATTGTGGACAGTGGGGAAAGTTCCAAAAAATGAAGGAGCATAGCAGAATTAACTGCACTATCCTTATTAAAATACATTGCATCAGCATTACTAGGCTAGGTTTTAAGTATAATTTTAAAAGCATTTCCAACTGTTTCAGAGGGCTAGATGACCAACGACACTTCCTACCAGCTCTGCAATTCTATGGCCATTCGCCTGAGAAATTGCATTAGATTCTCTGGTAGTGGAAGGTCTGGACCCAGACAGAAAAGTTCGGACATTCTTTCTCCAGTAAAGTCCTCCAGTCATTACTGGCACAAGACCCAGCACTGAACCTGCACCTGTAGCCAGGGGAAAAGAATTGTTCCCAAATATTTCTGTTTATAGACACATTATACGGAGCGATCTCTGACCGCAGCTCATTTCCCACCATCTGAGCTCTTCCACGGGGGCTCTGCTGTGCGGGTTTTCTCCTCTATCAGCAGATGTGAGCACCATCTGCCCCTTCTGCACTCTGTGGGCTCACTTGCCCTTTTTCACTCTTGTGTGGATTCTCTCATGCTTAATAAGGTTCGACCGCCAACTGAAACATTTCCCGCAATAAGTGCATTTATATGGTTTCTCCCCCGTGTGGATTTGCTGATGCTGAAGGAGATCAGAGCCCCGGCCAAAACATTTCCCACACTCAGAGCATTTGTACGGCTTTCCTCTTTTCAGGATTCTCTGATGCCTGAGAAGGTCCGAGCGGTGGCCAAAGCTTTTCCCACAGTCTGAGCATTTGTAAGGTTTCTCTCCAGTGTGAGTCCGCTCATGTGCCAAAAGGCCTGAGCTCTGACTGAAGCTCTTTCCACACTCTGCGCATGTGTATGGTTTCTCCCCTGTGTGGGTTCTCAAATGTCTAACAAGAGCTGTGCGTTCACAGAAGCTTTTCCCACACTCTGTGCACCGATACGGTTTCTCCCCTGTGTGGGTTCTCTCATGAGCCAGAAGTCCTGAGCTTTGACTAAAACTCTTTCCACACTCGGTGCATCTATATGGTTTCTCTCCCGTGTGGGTCCTCTCGTGTGCTGAAAGGCCTGACCGCCGATGGAAGTTCTTCCCACAATCCAGACATATAAATGGCTTCTCACCAGTATGGGATCTCTCATGCGCCACAAGGGCTGAACTCTGACTGAAACATTTCCCACACTCCCCACATTTATATGGCTTCTCTCCTGTGTGAATTCTCTCGTGCGTGGTAAGGTGAGACTTCCGGCTGAAGCTTTTACCACATTCTGTGCAGTCGTAGGGTTTCTCTCCCGTGTGAGTCCTCTCGTGGGCAATGAGGTGAGACTTCCGGCTGAAGCTTTTGCCACACTCTGGACAGCCGTAGGGTTTCTCTCCCGTATGGAGCCTCCGGTGCCTGTATAGGCTAGAGCTCTGCTTGAAAGTTTTCCCACAGTCCATACACATCTTCAGTCCCCCATAGTTGTAGATTCTTGCCCGCATTCTGGGTTCCTTCCGCTCCCAGCTGTCCACCTTGTAAGATGGAACAGGAATGTCCATTCTCTTCTTTTGGTAGCTTCCCTCATGCCTGCCCGACGCCTGGTGATTGCTGGATGTCTCTCCCATCTCATCAAACTGAGAAATGGCCCAGTTGTCTTCTCCTAAGGATGCCCCATTTAGTTTCTCCAGCTCAGAGTGTTCCAGTGGAAGGTGGCCCTCCTCACTTTCACTCACCTGGCCATCACCTACAGGGATGAAAAGCAAAACTTACATGAACTGAGGTGGGAAAAGAAGCAACAACTCCCAAGTGGGAAATTAAACAATGACGAACTTGTCTAACATGGGGCCTAATTCCACCTGGAGCAGTAATACTCACTCAGAAGCTTGGGAGTCACATGTGGCATTTGACAGAGCACTTGTGGCTCTTCTGAGCATGGTTCCCCAATGAGGCACTTGCCCCACGTTTCAGGAAAGCGTAGTAGGGCTTGTGGTTGGCAGGTGATTTCTACCTTAAAACAGCCGCCACTGGAGGAACAGATAAACCGCGAGCCTCCCTGAGGTGTAGACTTCAAGCCAGGGATGGAAGTAAATGTGGGTCTTTTGATTGATGGCAGGGGTCATTTCCTGCGGGAGTGCACAGGAGCGGAGCTCTGGCAGTAAGGAGCCCAGGGGGCGGGCACATGCAACAAGCCCCGCCCCCTGCTCCCAGCAGCCCTTGGTCGGGCCATGAGGAGCAAGAAGCAGGCAGGTAAGTTGCAGAGCCTCCCCCCGGCCCGCCTTCAGGTACAAGCTCTCCCTCCTCTGTGAGGGCAGATCTGCACTCCCCCCCCAATAGCTAGCAATCCAAAACAGTCCAGTGGAGCCTGAGTGGTGGGTGTTGCCTTCTGACACACTTCTGGTGATGTCAGTGGGTGTGGCATATGCAAATAAGTTATGCTAATAATTTATGCTAATGAATTTTCTTTTTCTACGAAATGACCCCTGATTGATGGTAATTGTGAATGTGCCCCTGACCTGGGTGGCCCAGGCTAACCTGATCTTGTTAGTTCTCAGAAGCTAAGCAGGGTCAGACCTGGTTAGTACTTGGGTGGGAGACCACCAGGGAAATCCATGGTTGCTATGTAGAGATGGGCAATGGCAAACCACCTCTGAATGTCTTTTTTGCCTTGAAAACCCTACAAGATTGCTGTAAGTTGGAAGAAGACAGTTTATACTGGAGTGGGTTTCTGCGATTATGGACTCTTCATGTTACATCATTTAGTTTGAAAGTGTATGAAATGTTGATGTAGTAGTTTGAAAGTGTTTACAATACACTAGAGTTGATGTTGTGTATATAAATCAAATATATTTAGCTATAATTGCCTGTGAATATTGTGTTCATTATTTCAATACGGTGTTTTCTGTGTTGACCTAACTTAGCCGTGTTCCCTGTGTGCTTGTAAGTTGGCTTACAGCAAATGTGGCTTTCTGTGAGTGACAGAGTGAGTATCTCTGACCTCTGGTCTAGAGAGTCTGAACCAATGAGACTCCCTATTGAGACCTAGTGGTGTACTTGGCAAGGTCACCATCCCTGAAAGGGATCTCATAGGGCTGGAAAAGATGCAGAGAACGACAATAAAAATGATCAAGGAGTAAAAACACTTTACTTACAAGAACAGGCTAAAAAGTACATGAGTTTTCAGTACAGAAAAAAAGGGGAAAGTGAAGGGGGCATGACAAAAATTAAGCAAGCTGTAAAGAACTTGTTTCCCCACCTCCCCATAAATATTAGAATGTGAATGTCTCTCAATGATGGGCGGTAGTTTCAAAAAAAATGTTTATATACGAAACATAATTTTATGGAACTCACTGCCACCGTATGCAGTGATGGCCCATCATTGGTGGTGGAAAGTGCCATCAAGTTACAGTTGACTTACGGTGACCCCGTAGGGTTTTTAAGACCAGAGACATCTCAGAGTGGGTTTGTGCCATTGCCTGCCTCTGCATCACAGCCCTGGTATTCCTTGGAGGTCTCCCATCCAAAGACTAGCCAGGGCCGACCCTGCTTAGCTTCCAAGATCTGATGAGAATGAGCTAGGCTGGGTTATGCAGGTCAGGGTGCCCCTAGTTGAGAAAGCTTTAAAATGGGATTAGACAAATTCATGGAGAAGAAATCTGTCAAAGCAGAGTAGCCAAGATGGAACTTCCATGGACAGAAATAGTAGACATTTAGGTACCATTTGCTCTATGGCAAAAACAGCAGCAGCAGCAGCGTAAGAAGAAGAGTTGGCTTTTATACCCTGCTTTTCTCTACCTTAAGAAGTCCCAAAGCGGCTTCCAATCGCCTTCCCTTGCTCTCCCCACAGCAGGCACCTTGTGAGGCAGGTGGGGCTGAGAGAGCTCTGAGAGAACCATGACCAGCCCAAAGTCACCTGGCAGGATTCATGTGGAGGAGGAGCGGGGAATCAAACCCGGCTCTCCGGATGAGAGTCCGCTGCTCTCCACCACTACACCACAGCCTACACCCTCTGCCTGACCACTCTGGTTAAAAGATGCTGGACTAGATGGATCCTGGCTCTGATCTTCCTTCTGCGCTTGCTAAGATCCTTAAGGCATACAGTAGGCCTTCCAGATGGCACGGGGGACTCAAGACTCTCCATGTCAGAGACAAAGTGAATTCTAACCCAGTGAGACGGTGTCCTCATCTTCCTCCTGTTTAAAGCTCCGTTCCTGTTCGACGTCTGATGCAGCCTGCTCCGTGTCGGACAGATTTGCGGCCGCTGCCTGTGCAGTGAAACAGAGGGTCAGCAAGGTTTAGAGATAGGAATTGTTACAGGGGTACCAGCGGTTAAGTGGAAGGAGACACAGCTTTCCAGACCGGGGGGGGGAGGGCAGATCCGGCCCCCAATAACCCCAGAGGCCTGTCCGTTCCATTCGCAGAGACCAACAGTGCAATACTATGCAGAGTTATACCCTTCCAAGCCAAGTGAATTCATTGGGATTAGAAAGGGATAACTCCACTTAAGACAGCACTGTTAGTACTGTGGGCATCAAATACTGCAAAGAGGACAAGAAAGTTCTTGGAGTTTCAAGCCACAACAGCTGAGCCCCCACTCAGCAAGCTGGTCAATTTGTGTACAGGCTGTACCTCTCCAGGGCACAAATGGAAGCTCACATGCCTGAATGTTCCTCCTTTTTAAAAAAATCCCCTGCTCATAGAAATCTAGCTTGCTCGAGAGAAAGCTGGCTTAGAACTATACCCCTGAACTAGGGTTTTTATATGCGGGGATTTAGAAAAAATATATGGGGGAGCTTTCAGGCATGCAGTCTGAAGTGGTAGAGCTCAAATGCAGGCTGATGACCTCAGTGAGCAAAGAACCAGGGGTCATTTCCTGCCGGAACGCGGCGGAGCAGCGCTCCGCCAGCAAGGAGCCTGGGGCAGGCCCCCCCGCCATTCCTAGCCCACCTGCGCAGGCGGACGGGCCAGGGAAGACCTGCAGAGCACCCCACCGCCTGGGGGAATTTATATGCCTTTCTTTCCCTTCCCCATCTGGCATTCTAAACATGCCTGGGTTCCCTGCCCGATCTTCTCTAGGTGCCCCGCATCCATAGGGAAGGCAGCCACAGGCCACCTGGAGAAGATCAGGCAGGGAACCCAGGAATCCTTGCATGCCTGCCTTTTGCAAGGGGGTATGGCACATGCAAATGAATTATGCAAATGAGCTCCTGCACCTCTTTTTTTATGAAATGACCCCTGCAAAGAACTATACATGAAGTGCCGTTCTGAGATTTGAAACATGGGGAGATATTAAGAGAACATGACTGCAGTTTCAGAGGGAAGACTGGTGAAGGGCGAGGGGCTTTTACAGGTGTTCCCCCCCCATGGTGAGTGAAAGCGTGGCCCGTAGCTACAGTGGGACTATTGGGGGCTCTGTCCCCTTCCTTAAAGGGCCCCTGGTTCTTAAAAGGGCCCCCACTTCTTCTCAAAATTTTTAAAGGGATCCTTTAAATTCTTTGAGAAGAAGCAGGGGGTGGTACACGCCCTCCTTCCTCCCTCCTGCAAGATTTAAAGGGCCCTCCAGCTGATCGACGGGCGAAGTGCTCCCCGCTGATCAGCTGAAGAGCCCTTTAAATCTTGCAGGAGGGGAGGGAGAGGGGCATGTCATTATGGAAAATAATGGCAGCCGCACCAGAACATTTTTTACCTCACAAGCCCCAAAATCCTGGCTACAAGGCTGGTGAAAAAATAACAACAGGACAGCATTAAAGAGCCTTCCTTCCACCCCCACGATACTCCGCCCTTTCAAAATAGCAGTGCTTGTCGTTACCAAAACTATGGTCAAGGAAAGTGATCACAGGACTACACATAATGGCCTCAAGAACCAGCCTTTTGGTTTGGGCTCCTAAGGATTTGAGAGGGAGGTTTGCGGAGGGAGCTCAGCGGGACGCGGTGGCCTACAGTTCGCCCCTCTGAAGCTGCGATGTCTGGCAACAGAACTGCTCTCTGGAGATCAGCACAAATTCTGGGAAGTCTCCAGGATGCACCGGGGAGGATGGCAACCCTAGCCAGCCACCTGCTGAGGCCCCCTCCCCCAACTGGCAGAGGGCCCAGGACAAACACCTGGCCCATCTCCTGGTGGCAAGAGAGGCAGGACTCGACCTGGCAGGAAGACACCTCAGTGGGAGATTACTCAAGGGATGAGGAGCCCCCAATGGTCCCCGGTACATTTGAGGCTCCCTGAGCCCCAGAGACTCCTGGGAAGACACCCCCCCCCCGCTTTCTCCAACACAGCAGGCTCCTGTTCACGAGTCAGTGGAACACGGAGACCAGGACTCCTGCTTAGACTGGACCCCATAAGGCTGTCAGCTCCACACTGGGAAATTCTTGCAGATTTGGGGGGTGGAGCTTGGGGAGAGGAGGGACTCCTCCAGTGAAGCCATGAGATGGGAGGTGGGAAACGGCAGAGAAATTCAAGATGGAAAGAGAGGGAGCAGCAAAATGAGCTGGGGGAGGAAGGGAGCCGCGAACGACAACCGGTGCCTAGGACCCGCACAGATTTGCAGCTGTCTCTCTGTTGGTTCTAGGTCTGGAGCCCTCTGAGTAGCAGGGTGAAGTCCACTCACCTGCGGATCCCATCTCTTGGTCTCACGTTGCTTCAGGAGGAAATCCTCTGCCAAGGCGACTACCTGGGCACAGATTTCTGGGCCGCGTTCCCTGGCCCAGTTCTCCATTTCTCGGGGGGGGGGGATCACCACGGCTTCACCCCCCCCAAATGCTCTGAAACAAACATATGCACTTGAATCAATGAAACACCAGGAATGTGGAATTTAAAGAACTCTGTGGTGGCTTTGATTTTATCCCATTTTATTGAAGGTTACAGAAGCCGAAGGAATGGAAAGAGAAGCAAAAACTGGTCAAGATGATAAATAACATATACACAAGTAAAGATTCCCATTCAGGTGTCGCAATGAAGTGAGAAAATGTATTGATATAGGGATTTCCCCTCTTCCCAATGGGGCCCCAGAACACCTTACAAAAATACAATTGAAATGAACAAATGGAGAGGGGAGGGGGGTTAGGGGGGTTAGGGTTAGAGTTAGGTTTATTAGGGTTTCGGTTAGGGTTACTAGGGTTAGGGGTAGGTTTATTAGGGTTAGGATTATTAGGGTTAGGATTATTCGTTTTAGGGTTATTAGGGTTAGGATTGTTTTAGGGTTAGGCATTTAGTGTTAGGGTTAGGATGGTAAGGGTTAGGGTTAGAAGGGTTAGGGTTATTAGGATTAGGGTTGTTAGGGTTAGTGTTAGGATTATTTGGGTTAGGGTTATTATCATTAAGGTTAGGATTGTAAGGGTTAGGTTTATTAGGTTTAGGGTTATTAGGATTTGTCTTAATAGGGTTAGGTTTATTAGGGTTAGGGTTATTAGGGTTAGGGTTAGAATTATTATGGTTAGGGTTAGGGTTATTACCTTTAGGGTTAGGATTATTAGGGTTTAGGGTTATTAGGGATAAGGTTATTAGGGTTAGGGTTATTATGGATAGGGTTAGGGTTGTTAGGGTTAGGTTAGGGTTATTAGGGTTAGAGTTAGGGTTATTACCTTTAGGATTAGGATTATTAGGGTTAGGGTTGTTAGGGTTACGGTTAGGGTTATCAAGGTTAGGAAAAGGAATATTAGGGTTAGGGTTACTAGGGTTAGATTTAGGATTGTTAGGGTTTTTAGGGTTAGGTTAGGTTTATTAGGGTTAGGATTAGGGTTATTAGGGCTAGGGTTATTAGGGTTAGGATTATTAGCGATAGGGTTATCAGGGCTTAACAGAAATATTGGCTTCTTATCCCACTACACACACTAAGTCATTCTGCTCTTACTTATACCTAGAAATTAAACTTTGTGAGTCTTGTAGAGGCCACTGAACTCAAACTTGATTCTCACATCTGTTGCTAACTTCTTTATTATCTGTATGCCAACTGGTGCAAGTGTCCATGGGATGCTTTTGGCCCTGAAACAACTTATTTAACATAACCCACATTGGCTGTTTGGGGTAGGATTACTTTTTCAGACCTATTTCAGGAGCATACTGAATGTGCATTTTCATATATGTGGGTTGGCTCTTTACCGAATTGTGACATCACTGATTTGTAGAAATGCTTTCCTTGACCAAGTAGAATTGGTCTCCCGATATCTTTCTTTCTGTAGCAAAGTATAGTGTTGTAAGAATGCATTTATGATGTTGTCCTCAAAGTCAGGACCATTCTTTCTAGCTTTCCAAAAGCACCAGTCTCATGTGGATTAGTTTGTAGTCACTGAGCACCTTTCCACAGTAGCATCTGTGAGATCGCATTTATGATGTTGTCCTCAAAGTCAGGATCATTCTTTCTAGCTTTCCAATAGCACCAGTCTCGATGTGGCTTCGTCTCCAGTCTCTGAGCACCTTTCCACAGTAGCACCTTTGAGATCAATTCAGGTGGGTAGCCGTGTTGGGCTGAAGCAGCAGAACAAAGTGAGTCCAGTGGCACCTTTAAGACCAACCAAGTTTTATTCCAAGTATAAGCTTTCATGTGCAAAGCACAGCTCTTCAGAGAAATTGGAACAAAATCTCAAGGGCTACTTACAGGAAAAAAGTGGGTGGTGGCAGCCATCAGGAGGGGCCACTAAGAAACAAACTGTATATGTAGAGCTGAAATTGGACCATTTGGCCAAGAATCAAGGGATGGCAGCAAATTAGCACATCAATGCAAGAATTAACAAGGAGATGTGAGAATGAGACTAGAGTCCAGCAGCACCCAAAGACAAACCAGTCTCAATCCTGGGGAAAAGGGAGAACAGAGACTCAGCGTGTGCACACTTCTTTACAGACATTAAAATAGATTGCCTCAAATATTACATGCAAGGGGGGGGGTGTATAATTGCCAGGAAGAGCTGAATAGAGTCAATATGCATATGTAACTGAGCAAAAAATGTAGCAAAGATTGGAATAACACATGGAGTAGGACATATATGCATGTCGGCATACAGATAGTAAGACCCTTTCTTACACACCCAGGGAAATGCTGATCAACACTTTGGGGTAAGGATTATTTTTTCCTCCAGGCCAGTTTGGCTAGAGATCGTCGAGGTTTTTTGTCATCTTCTGGGCGTGCAATAGCAGTCACTGGGGGTGGGGAGGGAGGTATTGGTGAATTTCCTGCATTGTGCAGGAGGTTGAACTCGATGACCCTGGAGATCCCCTCCATGATTCTATTATTCAATGAGTGAACAACAGATGTGAGAACAAAGTTTGAGTCCAGTGGCCTCTATAAGACCAACAAACTGTAATTTCTGGGTATAAGTAAGAACACAATGAATTGGCTTGTGTGGTGTGATAAGCAGCCGATATCTCTGTCAAACCCTGGGAGTTCCATTGTCCTGAGTGCTGCAATAACTTGCAATTCCACAATCTTTCATTCCAGTCTGTTTCTGAAATTCCTTTGACATGAAACAGCTACTCTGAGGCTCCCCTTGGAGTGGCCTGGGAGGTTGAAATGTTCTCCTACAGGTTTCTCTGTTTTGTGATTCTTGATGTCAGATTTGTGTCCATTTATCCTTTGGTGTAGGGTTTGACCTGTTACTCTTATATAGAGAACTGAAGGGCATTGTTCAGGGGTCATTTGGGGGGGGACGCGGGGGGACGCCATCCCCCCGGGTGAGGTGCGGGAGGGCGGGGCCTGGAGCTCCCTGCTGGTGCCCGCTGGAGGTCGCCGCCGGCTGTGGGGAGGACACACTTCCGGTGATGTCAGGGGGTGTGGCATATGCTAATGAGTTATGCTAATGAGTCCCCCTAGCTCTTTTTCTACGAAATGACCCCTGTACACGGCATATGTTCCCTCGCAGGGGAAAGTCCACTGAATATGCGGGTGAATGAAGTGTGTAGGTCTAAATGTCATTTTGGGTACAGAGGGCACTTCCTTATTCAAATCTTCTTTGAAATACAGGCCTTTGGAGGCACTCCCTTCCCCTCCCCACAACAGACACCCTGTGAGGTAGATGGGGCTGAGAGAGATCTGACACAAACTGCTCTTTTTCAAGGACAGCTCTTATCAGAACTACGGCTTGCCCAAGGTCATCCAGCCAGGTACAAGTGGAGGAGTGGGGAATCAAACCTGGTTCTCCCAGATTAGAGTCCGCGCACCTAACCACTACACCAAACTGGCTCTCTCGTAAGCTCGTAGCACCAGAACCAGTGTTTGGACTGGGCTTCACTCTATATCATCTTGCAGGTGACAGTCTTCAGAGCGTGGGGATGTTTCAGTTGGGATGGTCCAAAGATTGTTTTGGGGTGCAGCCAGGCCCCACTGTCTGCCTGTGTGACTTCCTTGGGGGCGCCTCACTTTGGAGTAGCTGGCGCAAGAACCGTGCTTTGGACCAGGACACAGCATATGTCTCCTTGAAGGGGGGAGTTCGCTAAACATGGGAGCATATGAAGTTTGGGGGTCCAAATCTTATTTTGGGGTTCAGAGCTTTCAAACTCTCCTCACTGTTTATGGATGAATTCATGAATAAGACCCTAATAAGGAACTGGGAATAAGGAACCAACTTCAGCCTCGTCCCCCCCTCCTCAGTCCCTTGTACATTGAAAACTAGCATGCCAAGGTAAATGCATTTTGCCTACCCTTTTAGAATTAATCAACATTTGAGTCGATCAATTTCATACGCTTTAACCATTAAAATCTGCATACATTTTCATATGAATGAAGCAGTAAGCTTCAAGGGGGAACACATTGTTCTGGGAAGTTTTCAACTATGAGTTCATCACAAATAGAAAACGGATTCTCTCCTGCGCGGGCAGAAGGGGAGCATGCCTCTTTTATGGATTTATAAGTCTTTACAGTGAGATGAAAATGATTAACCCACTGTAAAATAATAATAATCTGGAGCTCAGTGACGCAGGCGCACCTTTTTAACCCCTAAAAAGGTTCTTTTAACCTCCGAACAGCAGATATCTTTTTTTAATCTAATCGTTGGACTAACCACAACGGTCCAGAAAAATGCCACCATACAAACACAAGCCAGACTTCTTCTTCTCGGGGGAGGGGATGTTCTGAAATATTGGGGGGGTGGGTGGAATCCTGAACATTCTGAGTTTAGATTTTTATTCTTTTGGTTTTAGGATGGGTTCCACCACCCCCACCTCCCTTCCTGGGGCGTTTGGAAGCGATCGGCTGTAGAATCACACCCACACCCTTGATTTTATTAGGGTTACCTATTTTCTCTCTGAATGCCATTCCTCACCCCCTCCCATTTCTTTCCCATCACTGCCGGCAGCTCTCCTTAACACCCACTCACCTGTCCACGCAGCCAGCTCTGCAACACAACCTCCTTTGTAGGCGTCTCTCTGCAAGCCAATTTGCTAGAAACGAGGGTGGGGTTAAAAAGAATAAATAAATCGCCCCGCCAAAGGGCCACTCTTCTACTAGGCAGAGGAAAGGGCCTTGCCAATGCACGGCTTCCTTCTCAAATTCTTGGGCCTCTCTGTGAAACTCCGCTCTGTTGATTTAACCCTTGGAGGAAATGAAGCTTAGAGGGGCAGCGCCTGTCTCTCCTTTGACAGAGCGACTGTCCTTGATAGGAAGTGTTGCTTGATCCATCCAGCACGGCTCTTCTTGCCTTCCGTGAGCTGCAGGCATTACACAGTGTGCATCTGTGTGTAGTAGTATTTCCATCACCTGCTGCAACTTAAGCTGTGAGTAAAAGCACAGGAGCAGCGCCTAGCAAAGCTGTTGGCAATCGTTGTGTCAGAAAGCCTGCAGATTCTGTGCCAGCCTTCATGTTCAAGTCCAAATGAACCAAGTGGTGGTGCGCCTTCTTCAACAACAGCCAGGAAATGAGTGGCTAGGGATACCAGCTTCCAGGGGGGACCTGGGGATCCCCCGGAATTACAGCTCATTGCCAGACTACAGAGATCAGTTTACCTGGAGAAAATGGATGCTTTGGAGGGCGGACTGTATGCTATTGTACCCTACTGAGGTCCCTGCCCTCCCCAGACTTCACCCCCAAATTTCCTGGAGTTTCCCAACCTGGATCTTGCAACCTTAGAAGCAATGAACCAGTGCCTAAAAACTCCCTGCTGGCATGAACATAAGAAGATCCCTGCTGAATCAGGCCAGTGGTCTATCTGGTCCAGCATCCTGTCTCACACAGTGGCTGTCCAGTTGCCATGGGCTAAACCAATAGGGCATAGAGACCAAGGCTTCCTCTGATGTTGCCTCCTGGCACCGAGATTCAGAGGTGTGGTGCCTCTGGGTATGGAGGATGTGTGTGAAAGGTATGGCAGGAAGAGAGGTTCCAGCCCACCAGAAGATGAGGCTGATGGGTAAGATCCAGGTGGTCAGCCGTGTTGGCCTAAAGCAATAGAACAAATGTAGAGTCCAGTGACACCTTTAAGACCAAAAAAGGTTTATTCAGGGTATGAGCTTTCATATGCAAGGCACACTTTTTCAAATACATACCTTACCTATCATTCCAACGTATTCCAATGTAAGTTAGTCCCTGTCTATCAGTTTGAACCTTACCTACCATTCCAATGTATTTGAAAAAGTGCACATGCACGCAAAAGCTCATACCTTGAATAAACCTTTGTTGGTCTTAAAGGTGCCACTGGACTCTAAATTTGTTCTGCTGATGGGAAGGTTATTTTGTGGAGAAAAGACAAGCTGGTACAGAGAATTCAGTGGCCATTGGGAATCCATTGTGGCTCTCCTGTGTTATCCACCCTAGATCTCATTTGATTCCCCTTCCTGAGGAAATATGTGCTGGCTCAGCCCAGGAGCATGAAGGGCATATCCTCACCAGTGTTCCCGCTAAGCTGAGTTAGTGTGAGCTAGATCCAAAACAGTCCAGTGGAGCCTGAGTGGTGAGTGTTGCCTTCTGACACACTTCCAGTGATGTCAGGGGGTGTGGCATATGCAAATAAGCTATGCTAATGAGTTATGCTAATGAGCTCCTGCACCTTTTTTCCTACGAAATGACCCCTGCTCACAAGCATCATGAGGCCTGATTTAAGTGGAATGCTGCAACTTTGCACTATGATTGCTCGCCTCTAGGTGGAACCTGGACTTCCCATAGAATTGCAACTGGGTCTCCAGACTACAGAAATCAGAGCCCTTGGAGAAAATGGCTGCTTTGGAAGGTGCACTGTATGACATTATACCTCACCGAGGTCCCTCCCCTTCTTAAATCCCACTGTCCTCAAGCGCCTCTCCAAAATCTCCAGGGATTTCTCAGCTCGGGGTTGGCAACCCTGCTTGGAAGAACCATAGAGTCTAGGAGCCAAAGGAGACATTGTGGCAGCCAGGGGCCCAACCCCTGACCACTGGTGCCCTTTCAGAGAAGAATTCATCCATTTAAAAATGCTGCAAGGCCACAGTGTGGCAGGATGAGGTGATCTTGCCCCCCTCCCCCAGGCTGTTTCAGCACTTGAGAAATTTCATGTTTCGGTTGAATCTGGGGCAGCCACAGAGGGAGTCTTCATCTGGTGGGTCTGTGGGGCTCTCAGTAGCCCTGCCTGCCTCAGTTCCTTTTACTGGTGCCCCATCCAGTCTTCAGAGTGATTTAGATTCAGTAGACACCAAGATAGGCTTTGGTGCCTATGTCAGACCAAAATGCCTGGAGATACAGCAGATAGCGTGGACTGAGGGGTCTCTCCACCAGCTCTGTCAGACAATCCCCTAGACAGGTAGGTGGGTGGGAGATACACCTGAATCACAGCCAAGGTACTCAGAGGGAGTGCAGAGGGGCAGTACTTGGGGGGGGGGGCGGAAGGGCACACAAATTTTGTTAGTCTTAAAGATGCTACTGGACTCTTGCTCTTTTCTACTGTTATGAATTTTCACACACTATTTATTTTATACCTTGCCTTTCTGCCCTCATAAGGGCTACTGAGGTGGCTAACAAATTAAAACACACATGACTGCATCTTAAAAACCATAAAAACCAACGAAAACGCCCATATCATTAACACAATTGAAACTAAAACTATCAGAAGGGATCCCCAAAAGACATAAAAACAATTAAAGATGCTTATAAAGTCAACCCCATCTTTTCAGCACCAAGCAGGGAAATCTAGCTCTATCATTTCTATTTTTAAAAAAATTAAGAACACCCTACTTAAAATACCTTCCACAAACATCATGGATTGCAACTAGGGTTACCAGCTGCCTAGAGGGGAAAAAACCGCCCTGTTTAATAGAGGCTTTATGGGATGTTGTTTATCAGATGACGTTATTTGCCTCCAGGCCATAGAAAATTTCACCTGCCCATTCCTACACATCAACGATCTACTCAAAGGGCAGGCCATTTTCTTCTCAAGGCACCTTGTTGTGTGTGTGTGTGTGGGGGGGCGTTTACAGCAGTGGAAGGCTTGACCTCTGTGCCCTGCTTCTAGGTGTTCGGGGGCATCTGATTGGTCATTGCGTAAAACAGGATGCTGGACTGGATGGCCCACTGGTCAGATCCAGCAGGACCACTAGGACCCACGCCTGATTTCACCCCCAATGGCTCAGTCCCATCTCCTTGCTGTGTTTACCGCACCTCCTCTCTGCATAACTTTGTTTTCAGATGGGGTTCTGGAACCGTGGAAGTCAATAAGCAAGGGGGGAGAGTGCCCCTGAACATGTGGAGAGAGACCTTCCTCTCTCTCCACCAAGCAAACCCCCTCCCCCCCAAATCATGGACACAGCAGAGCATCTAAAGGAGAACCGCCCATTTCAGAAATGCTCCGAGACAAAGGCACACAAGCCCTCCCCCTTGCTTCCTAGAATGGATTCAAAGGGTTAAATCAACAGCGACTCGATGCCTAGAGAACGCAGGAAACTTGAATGGCACCGAATTTCCTTTTCCTGTGCTTCTCCCTCGGCTGGAGGGGAGCGAACGGCTAATCTTTGTGGACGGTCTGACTTTGCTTGGGGCGTTTGGACGGGAGTGCGGATTTGCGGGGGAGGCGCGCGCAGCAATCGGGAGAGGTGAGCCGAGAGAGGACAGTGGGGAGGGAGCGGTGAAGCAGAAAAAGAACCAGCTGGAAAGAAGGAGAGGAATTTTTTTTTTGGGGGGGTGGGGATGAAGGGGAAAGGGCTGGCCACGGAGAGCAACGCTCCAAAGCCCCTCCCCCTTCCATATTGGGTTTGCCAAATGACCAGAAAAAAAGCAGTGTCCCCAGATCCTGGGTGCTTAGCAACCCCTTGATCTGCAAGAAGGGGTAAGCAGAAAGTTTCACGGCATATAAATGGAAGCATTATCAGCTAGGAGTGTCCTTTGCCGATCAAACTATTGCTAATGCCACAGAAGTACAGAGCCGCTGAATGTTGACATCCTGGCATCCCCCTCTTTTCTGTCCTGATCTATCCTGAGTGCTGAAATGAAAGAAGTCTCTTATAGATGGCTTCAAAAGAGGGCGGTTCATAGAGAAGCCCATCAATGGCTACTACTGAGTCCTGATGACAAGCAGCCTCCATGTTCCGAGGCAGTAAATCTCTGAATATCAGTGATAGGAGGCAACATCAGGAGAAGGCCATGGCCCCTGTGCCTGGTTTCTTGGCCCTTCAGAACACAGATGAAGCTGCCTTTTACTGAATCAGACCCTTGGTCCATCAAGGTCAGTATTGTCTACTCAGAAGAAGAAGAAGAGGAGATTGGATTTATACCCTGCCCTTCACTTGGAGTCTCAGAGCGGCTTACAGACTCCTTTCCCTTCCCCTCTCCACAACAGACACCCTGTGAGCAATGTTCCCTCTAAGCTGTGGAGTCTTGTGAGGAAAAATTCTACTTTGTGAGCTACTAGCACTAAAGTTGTGAGCGAGCGACTTGGCTGCCGCATAACTTAGTTGGCTCTGGAGCCATCCTTCCTGAGCTAAGACAACAAATGTGTGAGCTGGAGGCTAAAAAACTGAGCTAGCTCACACTAACTCAGCTTAGAGGGAACACTGCCTGTGAGGTGGGTGGGGCTGAGAGAACTCCAACACAAACTGCTTTCAGGAACAGTTGTGCCAGAGCTTGTGACTGACCCAAGGTCACATCAGCAGGTGCAAGTGGAGGAGTGGGGGATCAAACCCGGTTCTCCCAGATTAGAGTCCGCACACTTAACCACTACACCAGACTGGCTCTCAGATGGGCAGCAGCTCTCCAGGGTCCCAGGCAGAGGTCTTTTGCATCACCTACTGCTTGATCTTTTAAACTGGAGATGCCGGGTATTGAACCGGGATGCTCTGCCCTTGAGCCATGGCCCCTCCAGGAAACTGGACTCGATGGACTGCTGGTCTGATCCAATATGGCAGCACTCACATTCTTAAAAGGGCAAATAGGAGTTGTGGAGGGCAGTATGATATCGCAGTACAACGAGGGTGGGAACAGAGCGTGGATGGAATGGAAACAGTTCATTTTCCAGGTACAAGAGAAGATATCGATGGAGCTCTCTCTGTGTGTGTGTGTCTGTGTGTGTAAAGTGACATCAAATCACAGCCAACCTACGGCAGCCCTGTAGAGTTTTCAAGGGAAGACACAAACAGAGGTGGTTTGCCATTGCCTGCCTCTATGCAGCAACCCTGGACTCCCTTGGTGGCCAACCCTGCTTAGCTTCCAAGATTTGAGAAGATCGGGCTTGCCTGGGCCATTTGGGTCAGGTTGATAGAGCAAGAGAGGCAAAATCCAGAAATCAGTGTTTGCCAAAAAGCTCCAGGAGGGACAGGAAACAGAATCAGATTTCTGGGTTGGAGGGGGCCATAGTTTCATGGCAGAGCACTGGGTTCAAGGGAGAGACCCTGGGAAGCCACTGCTGGACTGACAGAAAATACTGAACTTGGTGGACCAAGATGCTTTGGTAAAAGATGCTTCTTGTCTTCACGGGAGGACTACGGCTGCTTTGGAAGGAGCCGTAGCTCAGTGGCTGAGCACCTGCTTTGCATGGCAAAGGTCCCAGGTTCAATCCCCAACATTTCCATTTAATGAATGGGATGCCAGCCACCTGGAAAAAGACATCCTGTCCCTTTAATAGAGGCTTAACCTCTAGAAATGGGCAAGTGAAGCTTTTGATGGCATGGAGGTCAATAACATCACCTGGGAAATAACATCCTATTAAGCCTCGATTAAGGTGGAAGGACACTTTTTTCTCTGGGGTGTTGACAACCTTAGTGAGGAAAGACCTGTCCAAGACCCCAGGAATTACTTTAGTTGCAGTAGTAGAGAATCCTCCTGGGCTGGATGAACCAATAATCTGACCCAGTGGAAAGGCAGCTTTGTACTTTGCCAAAGCAAAATTGGTAACATTTGGAAAGAGTTCTTCCTCTACTGTCTTGTCATGGGGTCTGCAGTCTACTTTTCACCATCCCTTGTTTCCACTGAAAGTACTCAATCCAACACCCTTGTAACCTCTTTCTTCAGTATTGTCAAACCTCTTTTCACTCTCCTCTTGCAGGGCAGAGAGGTGATGGAGAGCAGGGGAGATGACAGAGAAACAAAGGAGAGGGCGTAAGAAAAGGGGGAAATAGAATTTCTCCTCCCCCTGTCAGTCCCCGGGGATCCCCCTCTTGTTATTCCGCAATATTGTTCAAGAGAGAGAGAGGTTTTTTAATCTACACAAACATCCCTTTACGCTTAATTAACATCTGTATTCCTCTGCAGCCAGGACTAAAAATGGAGAGGCCGGGTCTGAAAGAACCCAATGCTGGGGAAGGAAAAGACTCTCTGGTCCTCCAAACTGGGGCCATTAAGGCATTTGCTCCTCCCAAAATTAAGCAAGAGCCAAACGAGGGGCCAGCCCAGCACTGGGAAACTCAGTGGCAGGAGTTTCTGACCACAGTGGAGTCCCCACGGAGACGAGCGGAACACTTCAAACTTCCTCAGGCCCAGTCAGTGGAGGACCTAAAGGGGCTTCCGGCCTCCTTCAAGGGAGTAACGACTGATGTCAGCCAGGGGCCTGGAGAAGTGTGTGTGGCTCTGAACCTGACCGATTTTAGTGGAGAAACTCCAGAGTCCTACGAAAGGCCAGTTCTTTCTGTGAAAGTGAAGGAAGAGATCGAGGATGAGGGGGATGCTGCCAGCCCAGAAATGTGGCGTCGGCGATTCAGGCAGTTCAACTACTGGGAAGCTGAAGGTCCCCAGGAAGTCTTCGGTCAACTCTGGGAACTTGGCCATCAGTGGCTGAAGCCTGAGAGGTACACCAAAGAGCAGATTGTGGAGATGGTGATCCTGGAGCAGTTCTTGGCCATCCTGCCTCAGGAAATGCAAAGCTGGGTGAGGGAACGCGGCCCTGAGACTGGCACCCAGGCGGTGGCTCTGGCAGAGGACATCTTGAAAAGGCCACAAGAGACCAAAAGGCTGGAACAAAAGGTGATAATGAGGTTTTAGACAGGTAATCCCCAGGTGTGAAAGCTGCAAAAAATTGTGTTGGTCCTAATGTACAAACCGAGAGCTGGGAACTGGTCTGTTTCCTTGCCTCTTGAAACAAGGGCTGCTTCCACGTACTAATGATTCTCCAGTCTTTTATAGCCAGTGAGAATGCAACATTAGTAACGGAGTTTTTCTGCACTTTTGTTACCTCAGAAGCACCCCTGCCAGCAGCTGTGCCACTGGAGGGCTTGGGGAGGGAGGGTTTTTTTAAAAATGGTAATTGACAGATCATGATGATGCAGGAGTGTTAATAGCGATCGATCTAGTGCCACAATGAGTTTGTTCCCAGCTCTCATTTTTAAAAAAAAGTAAGTAGCCCTTTTTGTTGTGGAGTTTTAAGGGGGAAAGGCAGAGGAAAGGGGGGAAAGTGAAAAGTGAACAAAAACAGGATAAGAAGGAAGGTAAAATGACAGGAAAAAAGGAAGTTAAAAAGAAAGAGAAGGGAGAAATGACTGAATAAGGAAGGAAGGAGAAATAACAGGGAAAGGAGGACAGTGTGTGTTTCCCTGAAACATTACTTTGTCTTCTAGTTCTGGTCTTCAGTCACCCAGACTGGTCTTTAGTCTAAATTACATCACCCTTTTCTGTTGCAGATCCTGGGGACTTTCAAAAACATGGCTGCAAACTCCCCCAAATCTGAGCAGGATGACTCAGACATTGTGCAGGTGCACATTTCCATCGAAGATCAGCAGGAGGAGGAGGAGGAGGAAGCCAACTTTCTCGGTAAATATTTAGAACTGAATACTTTGGTATGATGTGGTATATAAGCTACGGGCTTAGATGGCTTTAACAGGAGACACTTAGGTGGAAACTCCATGTTCAGAGGTAGCGTACCTCCAAATTTCAGTTGCTGAGGCTACAGCAGCGATGTGTGTATGTGAACACTCTTCCTTTTATGTGAAAGGAAATAGCCTCACCTGCTAACCAACATCCCATGAAGCCCCTAATAAAGTGACGGGACATTTTTTCTCCAGGCCAGTTGGCAACCCTGCCTGAAGAGCTGCTGCCAGTTGCAGTATCCCCAGTGTGGTGCCTGTGGGTGCCATGGTACCCTTCAACATGTTTCCTGGCACATGCCAAGGGTTTTTAGAAAGTAGGTTGGGCTAGGTGAGGCTTTTGCCCAGCAAGGCTTTTGATTGGTCATTGGAGATTTGATTGGCTTTTGGCAGCAGCTACTACCACAGCACAAGGATCTTCACTGTGTGGCTGAGGGTCAGCGGCGGCAACCATTTTATAGCAGGCATTTTGTGGCTGCGCCCACCACACAGTGTCAGAATTCCAAAGGTGCCCACAAGCTCAAAAAGGTTCGGGACCCCTGCAATAGACGGTGCAGCTCTTTTCTTTTTTGGGGGAAAAAATTGCCATTTAAAGAGGTACAGAATAAAAAGGAACAAAAGGGAAAGCGAGAAGCATAAAACATCATTTTCTAAACACACTTTAAGGACATTCTGTAATATAAGAATATAAAACATGTAAAAAATAACACGACGTCAAAATATGGTAAGATAATCAGCATTTCAACATAATATATTTCCATAAATATTTCCATTATTTCCTGTCTATAGGGCTAGGTAAAGAAGTATATAGGCAAGGAACATAAGAGAAGGAAAGAATAAAGGAAAACGTTTTTCTTCTCTTTATACAAGTTTTATACTATCATATAATAACTAGTAAATGTGTAGCTATAAAAGATTAACGAATGTAACAACGAGAATATGATTATATGATTTTGAGTATTAATCCGTTTAAATTTCTTTGTAACTCCTCTAAGACAGCACAGCTCTTGATGACAGAGAGATATGACTCAGGTTCTGATTTACTTTCTATTTTAGTGAGCGATGGGCAGGAGTGGGAGGATACTGTGGAGAGCCTGCCCTTGGAAACATCTAAACCTGGGAACGTCAGTGAAGGATGCTTGGAACAAGCTGATGTGAATGGCCTTCTGGATCCTGAACGGGTCAAGGTGGCTGGAAGTCCAGAAGGACTAGAATGCCAATGGCCCCACCAACCAGAGAAGAAAGGAAAAGCAAGTTTCCTATGCGAGGAAGGCCGCAGAGATTTGAACGAAAGCACCTTCCAGCACGGCATCCATCAGATCTTTGACCTTCTTGAAAATCAGAGACAGCAAATAAAGGAGAAGCCTTATAAATGTCCTTATTGCAGGGAAGGCTTCCAGGACCGGTCTCACTTGGCTATCCATGAGAGAACCCACACAGGAGAGAAACCCTTCAGGTGCTCAAACTGCGATAAATCCTTTTCCCAGCACTCTAACCTTCTGAGACACGAGAGGACCCACACGGGAGAGAAGCCCTACAAGTGCATAGATTGTGAGAAGAGCTTCAACCAGAAGGCCTCTCTTGTCATCCACAAGAGGACCCATACGGGAGAGAAGCCATACAGATGCTTGGAATGTGGGAAGAACTTCAGTACCAGCTCTCAGCTTATAACGCACAAGAGGATACATTCGGGTGAGAAGCCCTATCAGTGCTCAGACTGTGGACAGAGCTTCAGCCGGAGACCACACCTTGTTGTACATGAGAGGCTGCACACGGGAGAGAAACCATATAGCTGTTCAGACTGTGGACAGAGCTTCCGGAACAGCTCAGTTTTTACAGTTCACAAGAGGACACATACGGGAGAGAAGCCGTATAAATGCTCGTACTGTGGGCAGAGCTTCAGTCGAAAGACCAATGTAATTAAACATGAGAGGATTCATACAGGGGAAAAACCTTTTAAGTGCCCCGAGTGTGAACAGTGCTTCAGGTCGACCACATTGCTCAAAGCTCATAAAAGGACCCACACAGGGGAAAAGCCATATAAATGTGTAGACTGTGAGAAAAGATTCTGCGGTCTCACAGGGCTTCGCAAACATAAGAAGACCCATGTAGGAATAAAGCCGTAATGACCCTCAGAGGACAGGAAGGGTTGTGGCACAAAGATCTGACCACATCTGACTACTGCATAAAAATTTCCACAGAGTAGGAT